CACGTTCTGGAATACAGATAGAAAATCAACTTAGTAATTGTGTTTTTAAACACGAGCTTCACCCTGCAAACAGAACAGCCGTTATTTTCCTGCCACGGGCAGAGCATTCCTGTTCTATGTAAAACCCCAACATTTTTGCATCCAAGGCAGAGGCGACTCCTCGGGCATCGCCCCCGGGGCTGCCGGCACCGCCGTGGGCTCACGGTCATGGCCTGGGTGAGGATGGGGCTGGGGGGGGGACGGGGAGTGCAGAAACCAGCGGCTGCCCCGGTGCTGCCATTGAACACACACAGCTGGAGAAATCCCCCCTTCCCTTCCCTTCCAGCCCCGTGTTTTCCTGCTGGGAATTGCTCTGGGATTCCCGTTACTGGAGCTGCTGGCAGGAGGGGAGGGAGATCCAGCGCCAGGTCCTCGGCAGCTCCCGCTGCCAAACACGCGTTGGGTGCTCCCAGGGCTGGTTTCACTTTCGTGTTCAGCGCAGCAGCTGCTGGGAGGGGGTTTGGCTTTGCCAGGAGCCATTTCAGTTGTTTTTCGTCATAAAAGGAGCCCAAATCCCCTCCTCTGAGGCATTCAGGGTGTCGATGTTCGGAACAGCACAAAGAACTGGCAACTCTTAACGTGAGAGACTGTCTCCTCGCAGCCTTCGCTCAGAAACAGCCTTTCCTGGGGTGACAGAGGATTCCTGAAGAGACTTAAATCCCTTTGCAGCCTTTTTTATTCAGACAAGCGATGAGATGGCAGCAGCTGTCACAACCTGCGGGGACTTTCGTTTCCCGTTCTCAGGCGGGGTTCCCCGCAGCAGACCACACATGCGGTATCCAGAAGCCACAAGTGTTTGTTTAAGTGTTCAGAAATAAACTTGAACTCGAAGTGCTCTGCCCCGGCAGCAGCTTTGAGCTTGTGGTGCCTGTTGCCACGTGACGGGTGAAACTTCCCCTTCCCGGTCAGGCAGGACGGCAGCAGCCAAGGCTGGAGCTGCATCTTTGGCTCCTCAGGTCAGAGGGACGGTGCTGGGGTGGTGGGACAGGTCCCAGGTCCCTGCTGTGGGACCAGCCGGGGTAGCTGTGAGAGGTGGTTTCAGCCAAGTGGGGCAGCTGAGGTAAGGGGACACAGGGGGGGTAGGGACGGTCCCTGCACCCCCCTCAGCAAAGGTGCTCCGCGGTCGGTCGTGCTTCTGCGGCAGGAACACGCGGGCTCTTGGGCTTGCTCGCCTACAAAGTTATTTTCTCTTTGCATTTCAGAACAGAGGCTTCTCAAAGAAGAGTCACACATTCCTGCCTAAAATATTTAGGAAAATGTCTACTCAATCAGCAAAAGAAAGACCTGAGAGCTTGCAGTTCCCTTTCCTTGACGATGAAGACACCATCTCCACAGTCAAAGAATCTAAAACCTTTTTCATTTTAAGAGGCCTGCCTGGCAGTGGGAAGTCCACCCTTGCCCAGGCTATTCAAGAGAAGTACAAAGATGCCTGCAAGGTCATCTCTGTTGATAGCTATAAAATTACACCTTTAATCAGAAGCACCATTCCTGAAGAATATTCAAAGATGGATGAGGATCTAGTTGACTATTGCAAACGAGATATCAGCGTTATCGTTTTGGATGACACTCACCATGAGAGGGAACGACTGGACCAGCTCTTTGATATTGCTGACAAATACCGGTACAAAGTCATCTTTGCCGAGCCCAAAACCCAGTGGCGAATGGATTGTTTGCAGCTGAAGGAAAAGAATCAATGGAAACTGTCAGTGGAAGAGCTGAAGAAGATGAAGCCGAGCTTGGAGAAGGAGTTCCTACCCATGTATTTTGGGTGGTTTTTGAGCAAGAGGAGCTCCGAGATCCTGAGGAAGGCTGGCCAGGCCTTCTTAGATGAGCTTGGAAGTCTCAAAACCTTTAAAAAGGAGAGTAAATACTGTATGTACAGAAGTATCTTACCAAGTTCTTAACTCTGTTGATGAAATGTTAACACGCAGAAAACGGGACAGGTTTGGTCAGTTTCTGAAGGGAATTTCTAGTTGAAATTAGCAACAAGAAAAACTGTTTAAAGCCACTAATCCATTTCCTGTAGTTGACAAAGTTGTAAGTAAAGAGAAATGAAACAGTTTTTTTAAGAAGCCCATTCAGCTGTGACACTGCAGGGAGCCGGGTTCGGGCGGCAGCAGCGTTGTCAGCTGGCCGGGCTGCCCCTGTGATGTGTCAGAGAGAAAAGGGGGAGAGACCCAACACCCCTGTCCCTCACGGGCTTCACACAACGTCAGGGTTAACGTGCAGCAGCTCCTGTTTTCCAGTTACACCCACTGTTAGCCCAAGTGGAAGGAGTTTTATTTACCCATCTAATCCTTTCCAGCAGTAAGAAAGCTGAAACACGAAGGACAGGTTGGTGAGGAAAGCTGAGACAGGACTCAGGCTCATGGGGTGACATCAGGGAGATCATTTTTTGATGACAATAATTGTTCACCTGTATTTGCAGTTGCTCCCGCTATTGAAGATCCCAAACTAAAAATCGATCTCACCAGCTACTTTGTGAAGAGGCCGCCCGGGGTCTTACACTGCACCACAAAATACACCGAGTTTGG